AACAGCAAAAGTGCTATCAGTCATGAATTTCCATCAGTTTCCTAGCTTTTTTGTACTGATTCATTTCAGGGGTTAATGCAAGGAATTTTTGAGTTTGGCGGATGTGTGGCACGTTGTATTGCACCAGTTATTTTAACGTTTGTTTCTTTCAATTAGACTCTGTTGTTCATTCGATGAGAGTGGTGTGAAACGAACGGGAAATTCGATTTGTATATCAGTGAAAGGTTTTTGTATATCAGAAATTTTGAATACATTCATTATAAAACTCCACACTTTCGTAGATTTTCTGAATTCCGTCATAATTTCAGTAAGCTCTTCGAGAGTTCCGGCTACCTCTGGATTAACGTGATCGATTTGACGTTGCTTTTTATCGGATTCTCACTACTAATCATATTCTACGGACGAATCGTTCCACTGAACCTTAAGCCGAATGTTGGAGTTGCAACACGCTATAAACGAGGAATGTTTTATCGACTTTAACGAATCTATTTTGGCTTGAAAACACTCGATCGAACAAGACTACGATTGGAATTGGTCTTTAGGAGTCACATTCGCTCGCATCCGTGACTAACGGACGAAACTGTCAATCCAACACTGACCGACATGGGATGTTTCGACACCATCTGTTTATTCCACTCTAACTAGAACGAGTAGAGTAAACAGATGGCGCCGAAACATCCAATTTAGACCCAGTTCTCATTTAATCATTTCCAATAAGACTTCAACTCTAAACACAAATTTTGTCAAAATGTCCCGCTGTCGTCATATTCAATTCGAATTCGATGACGCAGATAAATACAAATAAAGACAGTCCAGTTGTTTGTTTCAATTTGTTTGCAGAATTTGTCGAATATTTATCAAAGTCAGCTTACGACGGTCAGTTACTGTTCTTGAATCACCGACTATATGGTCAATAAATAATTAGGATTATTCAGCGACTTGAAGGTTTTGGAATTGCTTTTGGATATATAGAAAAAAGAGACAGTGAAGTAGCATAAGTTTTTTTTTTTTGATAACAGAGAGGCAGATGGTTGTGCTGAATTAGGAATAACTGCCAAGTAAACCTATAAAGAGACACACAAAAGCATTGCATCACATCGGATAATATCAAATTGGAGAGCATTCGTTCAGATTCGATCATTTAGCATTCGCGAGTTAAAATAAACACTGAGAGTGATTCTCATGAATCCCTTTTGTGAGTCGCACATGTCTTCCTCATGAATTCTATTCCTTTGGTAAACTTAAAATATTTCTCAATTCATCCAAAGCGTTGTCCACATCTTTAACCTGAATATTTTGTGACGATAAATGAAGGTGACATAATCACTCCCTATGATAGCAGAGAAACATTTGGCCGTGTGCAGTTCCAAGAGACATTTTTCAACTCTGCCAATTGGGCATCTCCATTGGTATACGAGAAAAGAGTGGAGTGATGAGAATGATTTGGCGTGACATGTTCGGGAACGAAACATATAATCGTCTTAATGACTAATCTTACATGAATCGAACGTATTCCTAATGTTGCTGCAGCATTGACGTTGGAAATCGAATCGTCCAGAAAAATGCATTCGTTAGCAGGAACCTGTTGATCACATTGGTTAAATGGTTCAGTTTTGCTGATGCAATAACAAGTTTCAAATTTTGCTAATTCAAAGTTAAAGCGTTTCACCGCAACTGAACACAGCAAAATTTTTACCGCGTCTTTGGACTCATACTGACGAGAAAATGCAGATGGTAACCATAAGTAAACACTA